ATGCCTGCTATACACTAGACTCTTGGGATATTATGATGAGTTTAGAAGTTTATAAAATAAACGGGCCAGGTTCAATAGCTCATGCCTGTAATCCTAGCACTTTGGGAGGCCAAGGGGGAAGAATTGATTGAGGCCAGGAGTTCAAGATCAGCCTGGGCAAAATAACGAGACCTCATCTTTACAAAAAATAAAAAAAATTGAAAAAGCCAGGCATGGTGGCATGTACCTATAGTCCTAGCTACTCGGGAGGCTGAGGCAGGAAGATCACTTGAGGGGTCAGGAGTTCAAGGTTGCAATGAGCTATGATCACACCACTGCACTCTAGTCTGGGCAACAGAGTGACTCTGTCTCTAAAATATAATAAAATGGTGCCTAAGTTTTTATATATAAATAATATATAAAAATATATTACCAGAAAATATATATATATATATATATACACATATATACATACAGTAGTTTATATCACTTGGATTGCATGTTCATTTTTAAGAACTCTTAAAATTTCTACAATGAATACAATGGATTAGGAATTTTTTTGAAGTTGTTTAAATCTCCAGTTTCTTTTTAGAACATTACATATTACTGTAGGGTAAATTACTATAAAATGCAAAAAAAATACACAAATGAGTGTGAAGATAAAATTTTAATTTGTGATACTGAAGTAGAAAAAATCTTGACAATAGTTTTAAAATGAATAGTGAAATATGTAACTTCACAAAAAAGTATTTGATACCTTTATCATTTATGTTTTAAGGTGCAGGTTAACATTTTTTATTTAACCATCCACTTTTTCTTTCTCTTCTTGGTGTACTCTTTTCCGGGATTTTATCTTATTCTTCTTTCCTCCTAAATATATCAATTCAGGAATTCTCCTTTGGACAAAACTGTGGGTGGTCCTCAGAGCTGATCCCCAATTCCCTGATCAGTAATTCTGTTTTAAGTTCTATTTTGTATAGAAAAAAAAAAAATGAGTTGAAAACTGTATATGCTTCCATCTGAGGTCTTCAATGGGAAAACTATGAATTTAGTCTGGCTGCCAGCACCAGGGTCTGCTGGAACGAAAGAAAGTGTACCCTCTTGGGACCTTCCATCGAGTGTGGCGACTGTACAACCTGCCTTATTGCTTAGTTTTAGTTGTCATCGAAAACTTCCAACAAGAATACTTCCTGTTTGACTTTTTCCCCCGCAGTGGAAAATATTAGACACTATCTAAGTAGACCAAAGAGACTGAAAATCCTGGATAGATTGAATGATAGCAGGGGAAGTAAGGAAGGAAAATCTTAATAGAAAAGAGGTGAAAGAAAATTTCCAAATTGATGGGTGGAGAGGGGAGGGATATCATTAGTAGATATACATAATGTAAATGATGAGTTAATGGGTGCAGCACACCAACATGGCACATGTATACATATGTAACAAAACTGTACATTGTGCACATGTATCCTAGAACATAAAGTATTAAAAAAAAATGTCTTGGGCTTCAGGCAGAAGGGATAGTTATTTTCTGTGAAGCCCGTTGCCTTTCTCTCCCCTGTATTTCTAGCCCACATTGCCCCTCATCCAACTCCTGCAGTCTTCCTGCCTCTCCATGTGCTCTCATTCTTTGTCATCACGTTGCTCACTTATAGGGAAGGTATCAGTGACTATCCACTAATTCCTGCATAATGTGCAAATTCCTTAGTTTAGTAAATCTGTGCCAGCCACAATCTAAATCTATGTATTTAACCTTATCCCCCACCCCTTTATCCATGTTCCCTTTTCTGTGGCCAATTGAGATGGTTAACCTTGTCCGGATCATGTGTAGTCTTTGCACATCTCACACTGTCTTTTTGGCGTGGGAAGGAACTGTCATCTTTGCCAGTTGAAATCCTACCCAAACTCTGAGATCCAGCTGCTTCCCAATGTTTTCTTAATCACAGCAACCTGATCCAGACCCTTCCTTATCTGGACTACTATGTGACTGCTCCTCTCCTTTCCTGACTGCCTCATGTTAGTTTTTTGTTCTTGCCTTATTTTCCCTATATGACATAATCTCCTTGTGGGACAGAGAACACATCTCTTCCTCCGTATTTCCTCCATAGTCCTAGCAATTCCCTTCCTGACAGTACCTGAGTAATGAGATGTACTGGATGGTGAGCAATTCCCTTCCTGACAGTACCTGAGTAATGAGATGTACTGGATGGTGAGCAATTCCCTTCCTGACAGTACCTGAGTAATGAGATGTACTGGATGGTGAGCAATTCCCTTCCTGACAGTACCTGAGTAATGAGATGTACTGGATGGTGATCGAAATCTCATCTGAATCAGGTGGTCTAACACAGATGGCACATCTTTTTGTGCCTGATATTATGCTTCCTTCTGTAGAGAAATAAAATAGGTATGCAAGTCTTCGTTACTAAATGGAGACTTACAGTACCTGTAGCAGTGAAATTTAGTCAGTGGGTCCAGCAAGAACAAAACCTCTCACCTTAGCCAGGCATCTGTGGGTATCTGAGCACTCACTGCCATCCAGTGCTCAAATCCAGTGCCGCGGATTCCCAGGCAGGGGTGATTACACAATGGGAAGGAGAACTGAAGTACTGCTAGGCCTCCTGAATTTCTTTTTGTTGGTTTCTCTCCTAAGAATGTAGTTCCTTTCCTAATGAATTATATGCATCTAATTGCCAGAGATATTTAGATGTTTTTTAACAGTAGACCAAACATTACAAATGTTCCATTGATGATGCATGTGGGAAGAAGTGTTACAAATGTTTTTCTCCCACTTAATTTTCCTGTATGAACTAAATCCAAACATATCTGAATTTTCATAATTCAAAGAAAATATCTGTGCCAACATTCTGAGAACAAATAGCTGCCAAGCAAAACCTGACAGCATATTCCTTGGTGGCATCCAGTCCTTAAAAGCTGTGTACACAGAGTGAGCAGCTATCTAAAGCTGAGCTCATATGCAAATGTGAACATTCCTCACTTAAAATTACATTGTGTACATTAAAACTTTCTCTAGAGTCTATGAAATGTTCAGGAAAAATATAGCTGAGCTTGATCTTAAGTACCTTGCCTCATTATTTTTTTTTTTTTTGTCATTTCCAGCTACTAGTCTGTCCAAAGAAAACAACTTTCTTATTTCTTTTAGTTTTGTGTGTACCCTGAGCTTGATTCCCAGTTGCTGCTATAAAAAACTGAAATGGTTCCAAACACTGCTATTTTTCTTTTTTTCTCTGTTACTAATATTTAAACATCAAAGATATTCTGGTACTTTTATGTTGTAGAGTGTATATAAGACCATATTTTCCCTAAAGGTATTTGCTATCCAGGGTGTGTGTGTGTGTGTGTGTGTGTACGCACACACGTGTGTTTTCTTAGCTGTTAGCCTTTTTTAGAAGTCACCTAACTGATAGCCTTTTCCTATCACAAGATCACTGGCTGTGTGTGGAGGAAGAACTGGAGTGAGGCCGTATTAACAGCAGGGAGATGAGTTAGGAGATTTTTTTAAATAATGTATTCAGATTTTTTTTTTAAAAAAAGCCCTATCTTAACATCGAAAACGTATGCTGTGATGACCTTGGGAATTTTTTAAATTTAAGCATGTTATCAGGACTCCTCCTAAGGCTGAAACTAAAAAATAACCTGCTTCCACCAAGACATTTAATATTATGGCAATTTCCACGTAAATCCTTAATGTATTTATTATTAGGGCCTTTTATGATAGTGTTACAGGATGTTTTCAAAGTTTTATTCTGTCTACTAATTGGGAGTTTTTCATGAGATTTACCTTTGGTTAGCTCTGTTAAAAAATTATATGTGATGTGAAAGAAAACTTTAAATTGTTTGCATATGATATAAATACATTTTTCTTAAAATATCAGTTTTCGGCCAGGTGCAGTGGCTCACGCCTGTAATCCCAGCACTTTGAGAGGCTGAGGCAGGCAGATCATGAGGTCAAGAGATCGAGACCAGCCTGGCCAACATGGTGAAACCCCACCTCTACTAAAAATACAAAAATTAGCCGGGTGTGGTGGCACGCCTGTAGTCCCAGCTACTCGGGAGGCTGAGGCAGGAGAATCGCTTGAACCCGGGAGGTGGAGGTTGCAGTGAACCGAGATCGCGTCACTGCACTCCAGCCTGGTGACAGAGCAAGACTCAAAAAAAAAAACGTCAGATTTCTTTCCTTGTACTTACAAATCATAGAACATTGTTTTCATTTAAACCTGTTTCCTAAAAAAGTACTAATTATTGTATATATATTTTGGAATACTCATGTAGTTAAACTGATCTTCTCAGCTGCAGTTAGTGGGTAAGAGTAGAAATAGGACATATCTGACCCCAAAATAAATCCAAATATGACCAGACATGGCAATGCTACGTGAATAAATATAAATATGTATCAGGAGACTCAATTGGTAAACGTTACAGTAAGTACATAACAAAAAAAATAGAACAAATGCATCATATCTTACATTTAAAATGTTGAAGGTATTTCTAATTTGATATATCTGATCTCATAAGGAGAGTATATTAAATGAATTGCATCTTCAAACTGCTATTTTGTTCTTCATCAAAAGAAAAAAGTAAGGTATGGCAATTTATGGTTAAATAAAAAAAAAAAATTTTAACTTTAATTACTGTCTAGCCATAAGAAGGAATAAACTATCAGCGAATACCAAGGTTCTTTGATCTCACACTTCAACCTTTTTGTCCTCCAGATGAATGAAATGATCTTTTCTCAAATGTTCAGCAGGCCTTTTACCATTTGATAGGACAATTATTTTTAAGAAGGTTTAAAATGTGATCTGAAAAACCACATTGACTCTATGTGGCATATTTGCTATTCTTAGCCTGGTGGAATAAGTTGGAAGTGGATGAATAATGCAGGTTAGAAAGAAAACAGATGCGAAATATTACAAATGGAAAGGTTTTCCAGCAATGAGACTTTCATTTTAGGACTAGGTTTTTGTTGGCACGTTTGGCAATATGACGATTATTGTTTTTCTCTCCAGCTGTTACACATCTGTATTGAAGGTTGGGGCAACTGGCGTTGGTCAGAGCCTTTCAGTGTGGACCATGCCGGGACTTTTATTAGAACAATTCAGTACAGGGGTCGAACTGCTTCTCTCATCATCAAGGTTCAGCGACTCAATGGAGTACAAAAACAGGTAAGTTTATTTGTGTTCCTGACCCAGACACCTCTTCATTATTCAGTGTAATGAAGAAGAAACTTAAATGAAAATAATTAATAATTTTCTAAAAATCACAGTGGTTATACCTAGTTATATCTGCTACTAGCACGCATGTGAGCATTTAATAAATGCTTATCTATGATCCTGACAATGATGATGGCTTCAAACCCTTTGTCCCACTTCTTTTACAAGAGCTGCTAACGAGCAGTAAAATTTACTGATTTTAGTTTCACCTCTTCTCCCTGTCACCACCTACCTTCTGGTGGAGGTGCTAATGAGCTGTGAAATAGCCAAAAGTCCTTTATTGAGAAGGAAAAGCAGCAAAGAGTAGTGGGAACCCTGGATAATCCACCAGCGGATAACCAAGAGTTGGTTCTCACACGTGAGAATGATCTGTAAGGAAGTGCTGTGATACTCTCCCATGACAGAGTGGGCCTGGGTCTCCAGCAAGCTTTTCTTTTCCTAGGAGTTAATATTAACTGCAGTAAAAATTCACTGCAGCCTAACTCTTGGCATATAAAACCTCAGCTCTCAGCACATATTTTTACGTATTTTATAAAACTTCCTTTTGGCTGTTTTTGAAGTTCTAAGACTGCAAAGGGAAAAAAGTATCTGACACTTTCTTTGTGTTCTTGAGATGTGAAAATGTGGTTTCTAAAAGATGTTTTTCAAGCATGGAGCATATGACGAGTAGAAAGAAAAAAAGGAAGTATTAAAATCTGAAAACTGGCTTCACTGCACACATAATAACTGGATTTGTCATTAGAATTTCAACATATACATTTACATCTGGATTGTAACAGTCTATCCAGAGCTTTTGTGGGACATGATAGAAACAGCACTTAGTCCCTGGAAAAGGGGAGCTTCCCCTATGGAGCAGCAGGGGCTATTCTGTTGCTGCATGCCAAGGAGGAAGCAGGAAGCTACTAGCGAGATGAACAGTAGGACCCACACCATATGCATTCTTGGTCTGCACCTAATCAAGGAGCTAGACTTGATGATCTTATTATTGTGGGCCACAGAAATAAAAAGAGAACTCAACTCTAGCAGAGGAGTCTCAGAAAAGAAGCATGGAAGACTCCCCAATTAACCGAGCATTCCTCAGAATATTTATTGATTGCCTAAAGTGGAACAAAGTAAAATGGAAAACACCAAGTATGTGAAACAATCTTTGCTTTTAAATTGCAATTTTATGTAAGCCCAACAATGTATACAACTGACAGTAAGTGTAAAGGGAATTTAGAGGTTTCACTGAGAAGATATGACTTGAGCTGGGCTTTGGAAAATATGTAGAATTTGGATTAAGAGAGAGCATTCCAAGTAGACAGTATAGCATAAACGAAGAGACAAATATGGGACAAATGAGTCTTACTGAAGGATTCCTGTGGGGACCACCCTACTAGTGTGAGCATTGAGCCAAAGAGAACAAGAAGTGTCACTAACTCTCATCTGCGCTCAGAACACTCTTACATGAATTTGCTCTCAATGAATATCTGCCCAGTAAGTATGTACTAGTTTTCTGATTCTGTCACTCATGGTCTTTCAAGAATGTCTTATCCACCTTCCCATTCAGTAGTATGTCTGAGAAAAGGTCATCCAGCCTCTTTGAATAGTTCAGATGACAAGAGGCTCATTCTCTCACACAGCAGCCCTTTCTGTTGGCTACTACCAGCTAAGTTTTCTTCCTAATTTTGAACCAAAAATCTTTCACCATTCCACCACCTTTCCCTAGAACTATGAGGCATATACAACAAGCACAAAACTTGTTGTGAGGACTCCACAAGTCACCTCTCCTCTACATTATAGCCCTTCAAAAACATAAGGGATTTCTTCTCTCTAGGCCTTCTCAAATTTGAGAGTGTATCCGAATCCCCTGGAGGGCTTGTTAAAACACAGATTGCTGGCTCCCAACCCCAGAGTTTCAGATTGGGTGTGGCCTGTAATTTGCATTTCTAACAAGTTCCCAGGTGCTGCTGATGCTGCTGGTCCAGGGACCACAATTTGACTACCGTAGCTCCAGTCTAAACTTTCCCAGGTGGTTCAGCTCTTTTTAGTGTGGCTGCTAGAACGTTTATCAATTACTGAAATGGCAGGGTCCCTCCATAGAGAAATGGTTTTAATGGTATGTCCTTGTAGTCAAGATCATAGGCAACTTGGCTGTATCCGCTTGCTAGCTGTGTGATCTTCAGCAAGTCATTTAAACTCTTTGTGAATCAATTTCCTCATCTGTAAAATGGGGATAGTAATAGTGCCTTCCTCAGGAAGTTAGTGTGAGGATTAACTGAGTTTGTGTATGTAAAATGCTTACAACATGCCTGCCCTCCTGCCATAGCCCAGTGTACCATACTTAAAATTATTCTAATGAAATGTTATCCATGAGTAACACTAGTTGGACATCTTTGTGTTACAACAGTAGTGACTCATTCTTGTATAGATACTATATATTTTCAAGAAACAATGTTAAATTTCAGGGATAAATTAATATATACAGTGTTCCTGCACAAAATATTACACGTTGCAACAGTATACCTACCAAATGTCATAAAAGTTGGTTATTTGAAAAATACATTTCTAAAAATGTCTGACAGTTTTACCTCTCCCCTGCCCCCTTACTCAGATACACACACCCACAAGCAAAAATGTTAAATGTCTTTTTCAATTGGATTTAATTTTTGCTGTCAGGGTAGTTTAGCGTTCAGATTTGCTCTAGTTAAAGTACATCAGAGACATAGGATTTCCTCAATTGGCAAGGTTAGGAAGGAAGAAGGGAACCAAGCTTCAGAAGAGCTTTGTGGATTCTTGCCTCCCTCACATCTTGGCTTCTTTCCTTCTACCCCCACCTGGGCCTGAAAATTTGCAATAAACTGCAGCTGCCTAATTACCAGGGCCCATTTGGGGAAGTGAGTGTGTGCAGATCCCTGATGGACCTTAACGCCCCCTGGATAATGGAGAATTGGCTAAAGCTCTTTTTTAACATTGATGCTGGGTTATCTGTGCTCTGCATTTTCTTATACCCCTCTCATTTTCCCCAATTGAATGAAAATTGACCACAGAAAATTTTGTGGGAACTTTGTATGTTCTACAACCACTCATGTACACATATTTGCTTCTATATTTCCCATCCTTTTGTTGAAGAAACCTTTACTACTATAAAATCTCAAATGTACATATGTATGTATGTATAATGGTGTCTTTATACACATACTTTTAATCATGGTTAAGATATCATTTTCCAGTGCATCTGGGGCTCTGGAGTTATTCTTTAATATCACTATTCTTCTTGGCACTGATCTAATAAGAGTTCTGAAACCTGCTAAGTAAAATCATATGTGGAAATCTTCAATACACATCTTTGTGGCTTTGAGGAAGGAGGGAAATTAGTGTGAAACCTGGAAATGTGTATTAAAGAGAAACTGCATTTAAAAAAATTAAGTAGCTGTCTTCAACTGATAAATTAATCTTGAAATTCTAACCATAATTTTCAAAATAAAGGCATTGTAAGTTTGCCACTTTGAAGAAAAGCAGATATAGCTCTCCTGAACCTAACCCTGGAACAGCCGTGAAAGCACACTACTCCACTGAGTGACCATTTTTGGATTTTCCTTCATCTAAAGTAGCCTTCCCTCCCTGGCCACTTTTAAGAATTTTCTTTTTATCAAATTTGAAAGCCATTTAACAGGCTTTTTAGTTGAAAATGAGACTATAAAAACCCACCCAGAGGATCTTTGTCTTGGATAAACCAAGTGAGTCCCAGATGGTTGTGGAGATTCTGTGGTTTCTGTGAGAGACAGCAAAATTCTCTTCTAAATCTCCAGGAGTCCAAAGGTTCTGAAGCAAGAGCCATGTGCATATATTGCCAGGCTTGGACACATCAAGAATAACAGAGTTAAATACTGCTTCAGAGTTTTCAAATGTTTTTCAAGTTAGGCAATGCTATGGCATCATAAGACTTACCATGAGTGTCTAGTAACCCCTAGCATATGCTAAAGAAAAGTTTGCTTCCTAATTTAGGATCATAGTTCAGTTGACTTTTATGGTTTGTTATTGTGAAAGCATAGTTTTAAAAGATTATAATGACTAGAGTATCTAAGGGAAATATAACAGTTAAGCACAGCTTGGTTTTACAGATGTGCTCCTTCTAAAGAAAATTCAAATAAGCAGATAGTTGAGAAATAAATGTTTGAGAAAAAGCTAAACCTCACCATTCAAATAACGCAAATTAAAACAATGACATTTAATTTTTGGTTCCTCAATCTAGCAGGTTTCTTTTGATTAAATAACAGTTCATCCCAGTGTAGTGGCTCATGCCTGTGATCCCAGCACTTTGGGAGGCTGAGGCAGGAGAATCACTTGAGCCCAGGGGTTCGAGACCAGCCTGGTCAACCTAGCAAGTCCCTATCTCTGCAAAAACTAAAATAAATTAGCCAGGCATGGTGGCATGTGCCTGTAGTCCAACCTACTTAGGAGGCTGAGGCAAGAAGATCCCTTGAGTCCAGGAGTTCAAGGCTGCAGTGAGCTGAAATCTTGCCACTGCATTCCACCCTGGGTGACAGAGCGAGACCCCCACCTAGAAATAGTTATAATAGTTCATTTATAAATAGTTATTCATATTTATTTTTGTAAATAATAGTTCATTAAAATTGATGGTTACAGAGAAGTCTTAATGACATAGGAAAATGTATCAATTAGGATGCTTTCAGTTTGAAGTTACAAAATATGCTTGTTAATCTTCATAGCAAGTTAATGAGGCAGATACTATTCTATTTTATGTTTACTGTTTCACATAACAAGGAGGAAGAAGGCTGGTTCAGTATTGGCTAACTAAGCAACCCAGTGTTGTATTTGCTTCTCTGTCATCCTCTTAGATTTGCCTGCCTGGTCTCAGATGGCAGTAAAAGCTGCATACATCCTCTGATAACAGCTTCTGTGACAGAAAAGAAGGGCTTCCCTTCTCAACCTGTCTCCCTTATTATCAAGGAGTAATATCTTTCCTAGAGCCTTTTACCAGTCTTCCCTTCTCATATTATTGGCCAATCCAGAGTTCCATATTTACCCTAATCAATGGCAAAAGGAGAATGGAATTAACAGGATTGGCTTGTACCAATCATGATACAGCCACTGGGGACCAAGGGAGGTGTCTACCTTCCCTGAGTACTTTGCTGCCTTTTGCTAACTAACCAAATCAAATCAAGTGAGGGTTTTTCATAATAAGAGGAAAGGATAGAACAGCTATTGGGAAGGGAAGAAATGGTGTCTTTATAACATAACTGTTATAAAGAGCAGCCCTTATTTTCTTTTTTATGGTTTCTAACTTTTCTTAATGAGTAGATATTAATTTTATGATAGACAGACTATCAGGGTGACGATCAACAAACTCTGGGCCAGACTTACTGGGTAACACCAAGCAAGTTATTAAATATCTCTGTTAAATTTTCTGTCTGTTAAGATGGGGAGTCATAGTAGCACCTAGTTTGTAAGGCTGCTCTGAGAATGTGTTCTCCAGAAAAACAGCACTAATGAGGGGGTGTATGTGTGCACACCTATGCACGCACACATGTACGTGCATGGGTGTGTGGAAAAAGAATGATTTATTATAAATTGACTCGTGATTATGAAACATGTGACATAATCTTAGAGAAGTCCCAAGATCTGCAGTCAGCAAGCTGCAGACCCAGGAGAGCCAATGTGTAGCTCCCATCTGAGTGCAAAGGCCAGAGAACCAGGTGAGCCAACAGTGTAAGTTCCAGTCCAAAGTCTGGCAAGTACAAGACCCAAGAAGAGCTGACACTTCATTCCAAGTCTAAAGGCCAGAAAAGACCAGTGCCTTAGCTCAAGCAGTCAGGCAAAATGAATTTCCTCTTAGCCTTTTCCTTCGATTAGGTCTTCATTTGGTTAGATGATGCCCACCCATGTTGGGGAAGATGATCTGCTTTACTCAGTCTACCAATTCAAATGTTCATCTCACTCAGAAACACCCTCACACACACACCTAGAATATTTGACTAAATGTCTGCTCATACCATGACCCAGTCAAGTTGACATACTAAAATTAAACATCATATGCTTAGACTTATACATATACTCTGTGTGTGTGTGTGTGTGTGTGTGTGTGTGTCTGTGTGTGTGTGTTATTATAATCTGGAAAAATATTACAAATAGGAAATTCAGTATATGAAAGTCCTATTTTCTCCAGTCATGGTGAATATTCATATTACAGAAGGATTTGCTTTCTGAAAAAAAATTCACCACCATATTAAATTTTGCATTATCTTTTCAATTTCAACCAATTTAAGAAAACATTTGTTGTTTTTTGTAGAGACAGGGTCTTGCTCTGTCACCCAGGATGGAGTACAGTGGTGCAGTTATAATTCACTGCAGCCTTGAACTCCTGGGCTCAAGTGGTATTCCTGCCTCAGCCTTCCAAGTAGCTGTGACTACAGGCATACACCACCATACCTTGCTGATTTTTAAATTTTTTGTTTAGATGGGATCTTGCCATGTTTCCCAGGCTGGTCTCGAACTCCTAACCTTGGCTTCACAAACGACTGGGATAACAGGCATAAGGCATCATACCAGGCCCCCGTTTGTTTGTTTGTTTGTTGTTTGTTTTTGAGACGGAGTTTCACTCTTGTTGCCCAGGCTGGAGTGCAATGCGTGATCTCGGCTCACCACAACCTCTGCCTCCCAGGTTCAAGCAATTCTTCTGCCTCAGCCTCCCGAGTAGCTGGGATTACAGGCATGTGCCACCACGCCCAGCTAATTTTGTATTTTTAGTAGAGACAGGGTTTCTCCATGTTGGTCAGGCTGGTCTCGAACTCTCGACCTCAGGTGGTCCACCTGCCTTGACCTCCCAAAGTGCTGGGATTACAGGTGTGAGCCACCACACCTGGCCAAGGCCCCCATTTCTTAATACCTACTATGAACTATACTCTTACCTGGGTGTAAAGTTGAATAACCCATAGGTTTAGTGGATAATTCTGTGTTTATAAAGATAAAACTTACACAGTTTAGGCTGGGCACAGTAGCTCATGCTTGTAATCCCAGCATTTTGGAAGGCTGGGGTGTGAAGATTACTTGAGCTCAGGAGTTTGAGACCAGCCTAGGCAACACTGTGAAACCCCATCCTACAAAAAAACAGAAATGTTAGCCAGATGGGGTGGTGCATTCCCTGTAGACCCAGCTACTCTGGAGGCTGAGTTGGGAGGATTGTTTGAGCCTGGTAGGTTGAGATTGCAGTGAGCTGTGATCATGCCACTGCACTCCAGCCTGGGTGAAAGAGCAAGATCCTGTCTAAAAAAACGAAATAAATAAACTGAAAAAAAATTTTAAAAATTAGATATTGGCATTAAAGATTATTTGTATTATCTGTTTATACAGAGATTTCTTACTAGATAAGAGTGCAATAAACCCTTGAAAATCAACTTCAAGGAATGGATTGATCACAGTTGCCCTCTCAGTTACCAGAGCTAAATGATTTTCAATTCCCAGTCTTTTCCATTTGTACATCACTTGACAAGATTCACTGCCACCTCCTGGGCAGGCACTTCTCTTATGGCTTCAGCAAAACTACTGTCCCCGATTCACCTCTATTCTCCTTCACCCCTTCTTCTCTGGCCCCATTTTCTAGCTCCTCACCCTGAGTCTGCCCCTGGAGTATTGGTCAGTTTCTGGGTTTGAGCTTCTACCCTCTCTTTCAGGTAAACTATCTTCTGTTCATGCATGTTTGCAAGGTTTTCCTTTCACAAATCATTATCTCCACCGCCACATTGTCTCTGGCCAGCACCTGACCAGCATTTCAATTGAGTACTGGACTCCATGGAGGAGTCTGTCCTTTAAATAGCAAACTCAACATGGCCAAAGCAAAATTTCTTCTTGACTTCAAGTTTTTTTTCCTTCTTGTACTGTTTAAGCTAATTACTTCATTTTCTTTCCATTAACATCAACATAGTTTATTTTGTTTGATCGAGAACATATTTCCAGTTAATGAAGTCTGAATTGATGAAGACTTATGTACTTACTGTCTTTTAGATTATCATCTGTGGAAGACAGATCATCTGTAGTTACTTGTCTCAAAGCATAGAACTAAAAGTCGTTCAGCATTACATTGGTCAAGATGGACAAGCTGTAGTTCGGGAACATTTTGACTGCCTCACAGCCAAACAGAAACTGCCTTCATATATACTAGAAAACAATGAACTGACAGAGCTGTGTGTGAAGGCCAAAGGAGATGAAGACTGGTCAAGAGATGTGCGCCTGGAATCCAAAGCCCCTGAATACAGCATTGTCATTCAGGTTTGAAAAGAACTTCAATCTAGAGTAGAGCAGCTTTAACATTGAAATTTTCTCAAAATGTTCTTTACTTGTATAGCACTTAATTTATTAAAAAGTGATATATAAAAAAGGGGGGAGAAAGGCTTTGAATAGTACTTCTCAAACTGTTTACTCCCCATCCCATGACAATACATTTGTATCAGTTCCAGTAGTTCTTACAGCCAAGACTCTGTCCCTCCCAGATGCAAGTGATATCTTGAAAAAGATCCTGCTGCCCCAGGGTTAGGGGTGGGGTGGGACTGGGGGTGGTATCCTCCTCACTTAAGGATTTTTGTGATGGTCTGTTACTTTATCTCTTCCTCAGTCTTTACCATCATCACTTTCATTCCCATAAAGGATAAATTCTCTTTCATTTTGCCAGTCAGTCTTATATCTCTCCTTATGCAATCTCTTTGTCTTTATGGAAAGAGTTGGCCCCGTCGACTCACTGCACATTTGCTTTATGCCATAATGAAGTCTGTTTTTGCTTAGTTTTTTTAAATAATGGCTTTTTCTCTATAACTTTAAACTCTTTTTAATCTTCCAAACGGATATATCTGTGCCTTATTTTGATTAATTAGTAAACTGCTTAGTACTCAATAGGACCCGTTTCTATTTCATGTGCAGGTGCCATCTTCAAACAGTTCCATTATTTATGTCTGGTGCACAGTTTTGACTTTAGAACCCAACTCTCAAGTGCAACAACGAATGGTGAGTGCTTTCCCAATCCTAAAATATGGTATATGACTCTGACCTTTCCTGTTCTGAAATAAATTAAGGTCAGAGTGACCTAGGGAAGAGATTTATTGCAAGTTTGTTTCAGCATCAAACAGCTGGAATACTGCAACAAAGCAAATATGAAAGTTGTTCTGTCCTTTTATTTTTATAGATTGTGTTCAGCCCTCTTTTTATCATGAAGAGTCATCTTCCAGACCCCATTATCATACATTTGGAGAAAAGGAGTCTGGGATTGAGTGAAACACAAATTATTCCAGGAAAAGGGCAGGAAAAACCACTGCAAAACATAGAACCTGACCTTGTACATCACCTGACATTCCAAGCAAGGTACTAGAAAAATCCTTCCCTACATTTTCCTAAGAGAAATTAAGTAGAAAAGTAACCTTGCACTGGGGAGGGTAGGAGGTGGGTGGGAAGATGGGGTGGAGGGAGTTTTTTGTATGATTTCTTATCTTATGAGAATGTTATTTTAAAATTGCCCTGCCTAGTGACCTCTTATTCTCATCTGTAGTTTTAGATAAAAATCAGCCTTTCTCATTAAGCATAGATATAATCAAGAGGAATCATCAGAAATTTTAATTTCGATTTCATTGACACATGACTTCTGTAGTGAAAGAAGATGTGAATAGAGATCAACACCCAGGAATTGAGGGGTGGGGGAAGAAAGAGGAAAAGCCAGGGCCCAGATCATCCACACACTGTCCCATAAATGGACTCTATCTACCAAAAAGGTGTTGGTCTGTAATACATGTGTAGTTAGATATTTTTCAATAAATTGTAGACCACTTTAGAAATCTGATATTTATTCTTGGTTTTTCTTTCGATTTCCTAGAGAAGAATATGATCCTTCAGATTGTGCAGTTCCCATCTCAACATCCCTCATTAAGCAAATAGCCACTAAGGTACACCCTAGAGGCACAGTTAATCAGATCCTTGACGAATTCTATGGGCCAGAAAAGTCGCTTCAACCCATATGGCCCTATAATAAGAAGGATTCTGACAGGTAACATTCTTCAGTGATCTTTTTCTACAAAAATTTCTCAATATTAACAAATGATCATTCACAAAAATATTAAATACCATAAGTGGTGCGTGCATGTATGTGTCAGATTCTTACCTTTTATCATCTAGTAGGTGTATTTTGTAGATTTCTTTATTCATGATCTAGATCATAATTGCATGAAAAGTTGCTTTCTCCTGCATGCAAATTTAGAATTGAAAGATTCTGGTATGAGGAGGTATCATGCAGGAACATGGTGTGTTTGGAATCTTTAAACATATTTCACAAATATTAAAGTTATCATATTTCATTGAGTCTCTTGGATGTGGTGTTTGGAACAGGAATGAACAGCTAAGTCAGTGGGATAGCCCAATGCGAGTGAAGCTGTCAATCTGGAAGCCATATGTTAGAACTTTGTTGATAGAACTTCTGCCCTGGGCCCTGCTTATCAATGAGTCCAAATGGGACCTCTGGCTATTTGAAGGAGAGAACATTGTTCTACAGGTTCCTGCTGGCAAAATTATTATTCCTCCTAATTTTCAGGTACTAAACTTTTTTAATTAATATGAATTCTTATCTCTCAACAAGTAGATTTTATTGTAAAGTTGTGTTTATGATCTTCACAGAATGAATCAGTTGTGAAAAATTCTTCTTAGATGCATATGTAAGAGGTATGGAATGGTCTTTGAATATTCAAGGACTTTTCTGATGTCTTTTTTTTTTTTTTGAAAACCATCAACACTATTGGTGCTTGAGTTACCATTAAATTCGATAACTTGGATTAGTTACATTCTCATTCCATTGGCATAGGATATTTGACAAGTATTCGGGCTGGTCTATCAGTATATATTAAGGAAATATAGCCATCATGTGTGCTTATCCATACCCTAGGTATTCTTTGCTGTTCTTCAGGAAATTCTCTGCAGTCTGCAAGATACTGAGGATTTCAGAGCAACTGTTTTTGTCAGGGCCCCTTTTCCTTTATAAGTGGACTTGGATGTTCATAATTATGGATGTCTACCCAGTTGTTGATTATAACAATATGGAATGATTACTGACACAGAGAGAAACCTAATTGCGAACCAAAATATCACAGGAAGATTTTATATGCTGTCACAAAACCTTCTTCATAAGGCTAGTCTGTTTCAAGAAGACACACAAATCTATAAAAAAAAAAAAAAAATAGAGTAAAAGGAACTCCTAAATACAATGTCTTTCTGATAGAGAACAATTTCAGAATCCTTTTTTGAGCTCCAGGTCATAAACATCTTTATTCAATTGCATTTTTTCTTTTTTTGTAAAATCAGATGATGTTACCTTATGGAATTGGAATGTTGACCTATGTGGACCTAATGTTAGATATTATTCTCTTGTCAAATGAGATGAAACCTTCAGTTTTTAAAGCCTTTGGTATTTACAGGGTAGTCACTGTTTGGGTTTGGTTTTCCCCTCCCTCCCGTAAATATGAATTCCATTGTGAGTACAAAAATAAGAATACATTGGGAGCCAAAATAAAATGTACGTTGCCATTACAAACACACACACACACACACACACACACACACACACACAAACCATGGAGGGATATTTGGTTGCCTTAGTAGACCTATTATATAATATTTTTAAAACAGCCTGAGGATTGAAGTAAAAAATATCAAAGTTAAGAAAATAATCGAGGCATTATTTTTCCAGGAAGCTTTTCAAATTGGAATATACTGGGCAAATACAAACACTGTGCACAAGTCAGTAGCAATTAAACTGGTCCATAACCTGACATCTCCAAAGTGGAAAGATGGAGGTAATGGTGAAGTTGTGACATTGGATGAAGAAGCATTTGTTGATACTGAAGTAAGACTTGGTGCTTTTCCAGGACATCAGAAGGTAAGATCAAAGTCTGTGTGGCTGGGAGGAAATAGCATGCCATCCCCTTAACCTGTTTAAAATGAATCTGCCTTTTTCTTTTTAACACCTTTTTCATATTACTTGTTCTAAACAATTTGTAATAGTAAAACATTTGATTTCTTAACTTCTTAGACCTCTCTGTTTTACAGTGCTTTTTTTTCTTTACCAGTGATAAAAGCTGTGTCACATAATTTATCCAATAATTGTTCTATTTCAGAATACTCAGCAGTCACTTGATTTATAGTATGTGGGGAGAAAATGAACTTACTCCAAAATATCCACAAATTGTACTTGGCCTCCTTCTTTAGAGCAGAAAGTAGAGTCACTAACATTCTGAGCATAGAGTGAAAGGACAAAGGCTCCTCCTGCAGCAAAGGTTATATTTCTGGAAAGGACATCCTGAGCAAAATTATGTGGATCAATTCTAAATCTCCCCTAGAACCATGGTTATAAGAGGAAGTTATATTCTTGAACAGTGGACTGGTGTCCATGTTTTAGAGATAGATACAAAAAACGTAAGTTATTTAAATATAAATGGTATGTGCTTTTCAGCATAAATCTAAAGTCTATTAAAACCAACTAGCTGAATAATATAACTAATCACATCACTTATGAAAGTACAATATCACAGTGTACCGTGCAGAAGTTTTATGCTATACTTCTAATATCATCATTATTTTAGCTGTCCCAAATTAGAAAAAGAAGGGATACTTCATCAAAGTAGTAGAATTCAGAATGACTTTTTTCAGGGGAGAAGTTAGATTTTTGACAGGTGTCTTTGAAAAGTCTTTTGAGAAAAGTTAGGGTCATTTGGTGACTTTTAAAAAAATAAATTTCCCTGATACAAAGAAATTGGTCTTTCTTCAGCATTCAAGGCTGGTATCCATTTCCTCAGAGTTGTCTGGGCAACACATGTTTATACTCTGACAGCCAAAGTACTGTAACATGGGTGTAAATGGCAAAGAGCTGTAAGCATGAATCACCCAAAGTTGAATAGTTGTAAGTTGAGAACTACCATCAAAACCTGGAAAAAATGTTATAATATTCAGTCAACACCCAATACCTCTAGCACCTAACAAAGTAGCCACAGCAAGTGTTGAATAAATGTTTGTGAATCAATGAATGTACTGTTGGAAAACATATTGATGTCTCATTATGCTTTGGTAGTGACTCAGGACCTCTTTATACTCTTTTTAGTCTCAGGACCCCTTTATATTCTTAAAAATTATTGATTACCCCCAAAGACCTTTTGTTTCTGTGGGTTATATCAATATTGACCAGATTAGAAATTAAAACAGAAACTTTTAAAACACAAGAATATACAAAGATATATTCCATTAGCTATCACAGTAATAACATCATATGTTATGTACCTCTGGAAAACTCCACTGTATGTTCATGAGAGAATTCAATTGTAAAAGATTAATAGCATCTTACTATTATTATACAAATAGTTTTGACCATGAGACCCCATGCCCAGAGATCCCCTGTGGGTCCCCAGACCACCCTTTGAAAACCAGTGTTCTGATATTATTAACTAGATGGGTATGTTGAAGCAAGAAACATCTTCTCTGAGCATCAGTTCCTTGCATAACATGGTAAGGTAATGAAATGATACATGTAGTGGTTAAGAGCAGCACCACAGAGCCAGACTGCATGGGTTCCAACCCCCTAGTTAGACCCTATTCATCTTTGTGACTTTGGGGAAGTTACTTAACCTCTTTGTGCCTCACTTTCCTCTTCTGTAAAATGGGGTTAATAATAGTAACTCCCCCATGTAGGTACTGTGAGAATTTTTTGAGTTAATATGTATACAGCACTTGAAACTAGTAGAACACAATATTGCAATATATGAAGGTCAATCCTTACTGTCTTCGTTGTCATTACTGAAGTTTTTAGAACTCTCCTTGGTTCATCATAGTCATTAGCGAGGTAGCTGCTGGGAGACCATAAGGAGGAGGAGGAGGAGGGAGGCTGGGTGGAATTCTGCCAAGATGAGTGGCATTTATTTACATATACCTGCTTTCTAAATAAACACTTTATGATGTTATTGGTCAAACAAGCGGAAAACAAGTCTTTTATCTGTCACTACATAACAGCAGCAAAAGTAACGGGGTTGCTAAAGCACCATGTTGTAGACTGAATACCAACAGGAGCCAGAACATTTCTGAGACTGAAAGGAACACCATTAAATATTCTGGGGAAAAAAAACGGTAAAATTGGTACTGTCCTGGTAGACAATTAGATAAAATAACCTTTTAGGAGTACTCAAGAGATTTTAATATGCCTTACAGTATTGTCAAAATTACTTTTTTCTCAATTATCTTGTAGTTATGTCAGTTCTGCATTTCCTCCACGGTACAGCAAGGTATACAAATTATTCAGATTGAAGACAAGACTACAATAATCAACAATACACCATATCAAATATTTTATAAACCACAGCTATCTGTCTCCAGTCCCCTTTCTGGAAAGGAGGTAAGCAAATCATAACATGATTCTTTTGTCTAAGTTTTGATAAAGAAACAATAAATAGGATCAACTTCTCTTTAACCTACAGCAAATGAAAAGCTAACCCTGAACGTAGGTAAAGAGAAATTCACTTATTTTTGTTGTAATTAAAACCATGAATGTCATGGTCACTGCTTCCAAGGTAATTAATGAGCAGAAATCCTACCAAGAAGGAGGCCCTGACACACTGCTGGATTAGTCCTGCCTGTGCCCCATCTGCACAGAGGCTCCAGCCCAGTCCTCTAGCATGCTCACTAGACTCCTACAAGCAGACACATAGTCCTGAGGACTGGCTCCTGGGTCACATGGAAAAGCACATCTGTCTCACAGGCTGCAGTGCCTGGGGGAGACATGCAGGCAAAAGGCTAGGGCCTAACTGAGCCGTGGATCTGCGAGCAGTGAGCTCTGTGGTTTTGAGGAGAATAAATGTAGAAATGTACTAGCTCATTTATGTTAACATCTTGATGGCAGAATATATGGAAAATAAATCTAAATTTCAGTTCTTTGTACAGTTAAAATGAATAGTTATATTTTGAGAGGAGAGTTTGTTTTTTCTCTCTCTCCATTGCCTCTTAGATGTTTTCCTTTTTTTTTTTTTAATTATACTTAAAATTAAATTAAATTTAATTTTAATTAAGTTCTGAGATACATGTGTAGAACATGCAGGTTTGTTACATAGGTACACATGTACCATGGTGGTTTGCTGCACCCATCAACCCGACATCTACATTAGGTATTTCTCCCTTCCCTTTCCCCCTGCTCCCTGACAGACCCTGGTGTGTTATGTCCCCCTCCCTGTGCCCATGTGTTCTGATTGTTCAACTCCCACTTATGAGCAAGAACATGCGGTGTTTAGTTTTCTGTTCCTGTGTTAATTTGCTGAGAATGATGGTTTCCAGCTTCATCCATGTCCCTGCAAAGGACATGAACTCATTCTCTTTTATGGCTGCATAGTGTTCTGTGCTGTATATGTGCCACATTTTCTTTATCCGGTCTATCACTGATGGGCATTTAGGTTGGTTCCAAGTCTTTGCTATTGTGAATAGTGCTGCAATAAACACACATGTGCATGTGTCTTTATAGTAGAATGATTTATAATCCTTTGGGTATATACCCAGTAATGGGATTGCTGAGTCAAATGGTTTTTCTAGTTCTAGATCCTTGAGGAATTGCCACAGTGTGTTCCAATGGTTGAACTAATTTACACTCCCACCAACAGTGTAAAAGTGTTCCTATTTCTCCACATCCTCTCCAGCATCTGTTGTTTCCTGATTTTTTAATGACTGCCATTCTAACTGATGTGAGATGGTATCTCATTGTGGTTTTGATTTGCATTTCTCTAATGACCAGTGATGATAAGCTTTTATTCATGTTTGTTGACCACGTAAATGTCTTCTTTTGAGAAGTGTCTGTTCATATCCTTTGCCCACTTTCTGATGGGGTTGTTTGTTTTTTTCTTGTAGATTTGTTTATGTTCCTTGTAGATTCTGGATATTAGCACTTTGTCAGATGGATATATTGCAAGAATTTTTCTCCCATTCTGTAGGTTGCCTGTTCACTCTGATGATAGTTTCTTTTGCTGTGCAGACACTCTTTAGTTTAATTAGATCCCATTTGTCAATTTTGGCTTTTGTTGCCATTGCTTTTGGTGTTTTAGTCATGAAGTCTTTGCCCATGCCTATGTCCTGAATGGTATTGCCTAGGTTTTCTTCTAGGGTTTTTATGGTTTTAGGTCTTAGTTTAAATCTTTAATCCATCTTGAGTTAATTTTTGTATAAGGTGTAAGAAAGGGATCCAGTTTCAGTTTTCTGCATATGGCTAGTGAGTTTTCCCAACACCATTTATTAAATAGGGAATCCTTTCCCCCTTGCTTGTTAAAGATCAGATGGTCAAAGATCAAATGGTTGTAGATGTGTGGTGTTATTTCTGAGGCCTCTGTTCTGTTCCATTGTTCTATATATCTGTTTTGGTACCAGTACCATGCTGTTTTGGTTACTATAGCCTTGCAATATAGTTTGAAGTCAGCATGATGCTCCCAGCTTTGTTCTTTTTGCTTAGGATTGTCTTGGCAATGTGGGCTCTTTTTTGGTTCCATACGAAGTTTAAAGTAGTTTTTTCTAATTCTGTGATGAAAGTCAGTGGTAGCTTAATGGGTATAGCATTGAATCTATAAATTACTTTGGGCAGTATGGTCATTTTCACAATATTGATTCTTCCTATGCATAAGCATGGAATGTTTTACCATTTGTGTGTGTCCTCTTTTATTTTGTTGAGCAGTGGCATGTAGTTCTCCTTGAAGAGGTTCTTCAGATCCCTTGTAAGTTGGATTCCTAGGTATTTTATTCTCTTTGTAGCAATTGTGAATGGGAGTTCACTCATGATTTGGCTCTCTGTTTGTCTGTTAATGGCATATAGGAATGCTTCTGATTTTTGCACGTTGATTTTGTATCCTGAGACTTTGCTGAAGTTGCTTATCAGCTTAAGGAGATTTGGGCTGAGACGATGGGATTTTCTAAATATACAATCATGCCATCTGCAAACAGAGACAATTTGACTCCCTCTTTTCCTATTTGAATACCCTTTATTTCTTTCTCTTTCCTGATTCACCTAACCAGAACTTCCAATACTATGTTGAATAGGAGTGCTGAGAGGGGGCATCTTTGTCTTGTGATGGTTTTCAAAGGGAACGCTTCCAGCTTTTGCCCATTCAGTATGATACTGGCTGTGGGTTTGTCATGAATAGCTCTTATTATTTTGAGATATGTTCCACCAATACCTAGTTTATTGAGTGTTTTTAGCATGAAGGGTGTTGAATTTTATCAAAGGCCTTTTTTGCATCTATTGAGATAATTGTGGTTTTGGTCATGGGTTCTTTTTATGTGATGGATTACATTTATTGATTTGTGTGTGTTGAACCAGTCTTGCCTTGCAGGGATGAAGCCGACTTGATCTTGGTGGATAAGATTTTTAATGTGCTGCTGGATTCGGTTGGCCAGTATTTTATTGAGGATTTTCGCATCAATGTTCATCAGGGATATTGGCCTGAAATTTTCTTTTTTTGTGGTGTCTCTGCCAGGTTTTGGTATCAGGATGATGCTGGCCTCATGAAATGAGTTAGGTAGGAGTCCCTCTTTTTCTATTGTTTGGAATAGTTTCAGAAGGAATGATACTGCCTCCTCTTTGTACCTCTGGTAGAATTTGACTGTGAATACATAGGGTCCTGGGCATTTTTTGTTGGTAGGCTATTAATTACTGTCTCTATTTCAGAACTTGTTATTGATCTATTCAGGTATTTGACGTCTTCCTGGTTTAGTCTTAGGAGAGTGTATGTGCCCATGCATTCATCCATTTCTTCTAGATTTTCTAGTTTATTTGCATTGAGGTGTTTATAGTATTCTCTGATGGTAGTTTGTATTTCCGTGGGATCAGTGGTGATCTCCCCTTTATCGTTTTTTATTTTGTCTATTTGATTCTTCTCTCTTTTCTTTATTAGTCTGGCTAGCAGTCTTATCTATTTTGTTGATCTTTAAAAAAAAAACAGCTCCTGGTTTCATTTATTTTTTTTTAAGGGTTTTTTGTGTCTTTATCACCTTCAGTTCTACTCTGATCTTAGTTATTTCTTGTCTTCTGCTAGCTTTTGAATTTGTTTGCTCTTGCTTCTCTAGTTCTATTAACTGTGATGTTAGGGTGTCGATTTTAGATCTTTCTCATTTTCTGATGTGGGAATTTAGTGCTATAAATTTCCCTCTTAACAGTGTTTTAGCTGTGTCCCCGAGATTCTGGTACATTGTGTCTTTGTTCTCACTGGTTTCAAAGAACTCATTTATTTCTGCCTTAATTTCGTTAGTTACCCAGTAGTCATTCAGGAGCAGGTCCTTCAATTTCCATGTAGTTGTGTGGATTTTAGTGAGTTTCTTAATGCTGAGTTCTAATTTGATTGCACTGTGGTCTGAGAGACTGTTTGTTATGATTTCTGTTCCTTTGCATTTGTTGAGTGTTTCCCTTCCAATTATGTGGTCAATTTTAAAATAAGTGCTAGGTGGTGCTGAGAAGAATGTATATTTTGTTGATTTGAGGTAGAGAGTGCTATAGATGTCTATTAGGTCTACTTGGTCCAGAGCCGAGTTCAAGTCCTGAATGTCCTTGTCAATTTTCTGTCTCATTAATCTGTCTAATATTGACAGTGGGTGTTAAAGTCTCCCACTATTATTATGTGGGAGTCTAAGTCTCTTTGTAGGTCTCTAAGAAGTTGGTTTATGAATCTGGGTGCTCTTGTATTGGGTGCATATATATTTAGGATAGTTAGCTCTACTTACATTGATCCCTTTACCATTATGTAATGCCCTTGTCTTTTTTGATCTTTGTTGGTTTAAAGTCTATTTTATCAGACAGTAGGATTGCAACCCCTGCTTTTTTTTTTTTTTTTTTTTTTTCTTTCCATTTGCTTGGTAAATATTCCTCCATCCCTTTATTTTGAGCCTATGTGTGTCTTTGCACATGAGATGGGTCTCCTGAATACAGCACACTAATGGGTCTTGACTCTTTATCCAATTTGACTATTTATCCAATTCATTCTCTGTGCCTTTTAATTGGGGCATTTAGCCCATTTACATTTAAAGTTAATATTGTTATGTGTGAATTTGATCCTGTCGTTATGATGCTAGCTGTTTATTTTGCCCATTAGTTGGTGCAGTTTTTTCATAGTGTTGATGGTCTTTACATTTCGGTTTGTTTTTGCAGTGACTTGTACTGGTTTTTCCTTTCCATATTTAGTGCTTCCTTCAGGAGCTCTTGTAAGGCAGGCCTGGTAGTGACAAAATCCCTCAGCATTTGCTCATCTGTAAAGGATTTTATTTCTCCGTCACTTATGAAGCTTAGTTTGGCTGGATATAAAATTCTGGATTGAAACATTTTCTTTGAGAATGTTGAATACTGGCCCCCACTCTCTTCTGGTTTGTAAGGTTTCTGTAGAGAGATCTGCTGTTAGTCTGATGGGCTTCCCTTTGTGGGTAACCTCATCTTTCCGTCTGGCTGCCCTTAACATTTTTTCCTTCATTTCAACCTTGGTGAATCTGACAATAATGTGTCTTGGGGTTGCTCTTCTTGAGCAGTATCTTTGTGGTGTTCTCTGTATTTCCTGAATTTGAATGTCGGCCTGTCTTGCTGGGTTGGGGAAGTTCTCCTGGATAATATCCTGAAGTGTGTTTTCCAACTTGGTTCCTTTCTCCCACGTCACTTTCAGGTACACCAATCAAATGTAGGTTTGGTCTTTTCACATAGTCCCATATTTCTTGGAGACTTTGTTTGTTCCTTTCATTCTTTTTTCTCTAATCTTGTCTTCATGCTTTATTTCATTAAGTTGATCTTCAATCTCTGATATCCTTTCTTCCACCTGATCAATTCGGTTGTTGATACTTGTGTATGCTTCTCAAAGTTCTCGTGCTGTGTTTTTCAGCTTCATCGGGTCATTTATGTTCTTCTCTAAATTGGTTATTCTAGTTAGCAATTCGTCTAACCTTTCATCAAGGTTCTTAACTTCCTTGCATTGGGTTAGAGCATGATCCTTTAGCTCGGAGGAGTTTGTTATTACCCACCTTCTGCAGCCTACTTCTGTCACTTTGTCAAACTCATTCTCCATCCAGTTTTGTTCCCATGCTGGTGAGGAGTTGTGATCCTTTGGAGGAGAAGAGGTATTCTGGTTTTTGGAATTTTCAGCCTTTTTGTGCTGGTTTTTCCTCATCTTCATGGATTTATCTACCTTTGGTCTTTGATGCTGGTGACTTTCAGATGGAGTTTTTGCGTGGTTGTCCTTTTTGTTGATGTTGATGCTATTGCTTTCTGTTTGTTGGTTTTCCTTCTAATAATCAGGCCCCTCTTCTGCAGTTCTGCTAGAGTTTGCTGGGGTCCACCTCAGACCCTGTTTGCCTGGGTATCACCAGCAGAGGCTGCAGAACAGCAAAGATTTCTGCCTGTTCCTTCCTCTGGAAGCTTTATCCCAGAGGGGCACCCACCAGATGCCAGTTGGAGCTCTCCTGTATGAGGTGTCTGTTGACCCCTGCTGGGAGGTGTCTCCGCATCAGGAGGCTCAGGGGTCAGGGACCCACTTGAGGAGGCAGTCTGTCCCTTAACAGAGCTTGATCACTGTGCTGGGAGATTCATTGCTCTCTTCAGAGCTGGCAGGCAGTAATGTTTAAGTCTGCTGAAGCTGCGCCCACATCCGCCCCTTCCCCCAGGTGCTCTGTTCCAGGGAGATGGGAGTTTGATCTATAAGCCCCTGACTAGGGCTGCTGCCTTTCTTTCAGAGATGCCCTGCCCAGTGAGGAGGAATCTAGAGAGGCAGTCTGGCCACAGTGGCTTTGCGGGGCTGTGGTGGGCTCTTCCCAGTCCGAACTTCCTGGAGGCTTTGTTTACACTGTGAGGGGAAACTGCCTACTCAATCCTCAGTAATGGTGGATTCCCCTCCCCCGACCAAGCTCGAGCATCCCAGGTCGACTCCAGACTGCTGTGCTGGCAGTGAGAATTTCAGGCCAGCGGATCTCAGCCTGCTGGGCTCCGTGGAGGTGGGATCCGCTAAGTAAGACCACTTGGCTCCATGGCTTCAGCCCCCTTTCCAGGGGAGTGAATGATTCTGTCTCGCTGGCGTTCCAGGCGCCACTGGTGTACAAAATGAAACTCCTGCAGCTAGCTCGATATCTGCCCAAACGGCTGCCCAGTTTTGTGCTTGAAACCCAAGGCCCTTGTGGTATAGGCACCGGAGGGAATCTCCTGGTCTGTGGGTTGCAAAGACCCTGGGAAAAGCATAGTATCTGGGCTAGATAGCACCGTCCCTCACGGCACAGTCCCTTATGGCTTGGCGAGGGGAGGGAGTTCCCTGATCCCTTGTGCTTCCCAGGTGAGGCGACTCCCCAACCTGCTTCTGCTCACCCTCCTTGGGCTGTACCCACTGTCTAACCAGTCCCAGTGAGATGAGCCACATACCTAAGTTGGAAATGCAGAAACCACCCACCTTCTGTGTTGATCTCGCTGGGAGCTGCAGACCGGAGCTGTTCCTATTCAGCCAACTTGCCCAGGAATCAGTTTTTTGTTTGTTTGTTTGTTTTTGAGATGGAGTCTCACCCTGCCACCCAGGCTGGAGTATAATGGCACGATCTCAGCTCACTTCAACCTCTGCCTCCTGGGTTCAAGCAATTCTCCTGCCTCATCCTCATGAGTAGCTGGGATTACAGGTGTCCACCACCACTCCCTCTAATTTTTGTATTTTTAGTAGAAATGGGGTTTCACCATGTTGGCCAGGCTGGTCTCAAACTCCCGACCTCATGATCCACCTGCCTCAGCCTCCCAAATTGCTAGGATTACAGACATAAGCCACTGGCACCCAGCCGTAAGGAGAGGTTTTAAGAGAACTTAAAAACAGAAAATGTTACGTGGTATGTTATTGTTTTATGCTATTGAAACTGTCTTATAGGAAAGTATTATCTTTCTTTACCTTTGTCTGCCCTTTTACCTCCTACTTTCAGCTCCTAAAAATTATATTAAATTAATCAAATAGGATAAAAGTCTTATACTTTTAAGCTTATAATGCATTGTGCTAAAGTCAGCCCTCTGTCTCCGTAGGTTCCATAGCTATGGATTCCACGAAACATGGACCAAAAATATTCAGGAAGAAATAAACTAACAATACTACTATTTTAAAATACACATTTTAAAATACAATATAACAGTTGTTTACATAGCATTTATATGTTATCAAGTATTACAAGTAATACAGAGATTACTTAAATTATACTGAAGGATGGCACGGTTATGTACAAGTACTACGCCATTTTGTATAACGGACTTGAGCATCCATGGTGTTCTCACTGCTTCTAATTTTTTCATTAGGACATTCTCATGGAAACAGGATTCATAATATTCCCATGTCCCCAACCCAGCCTTTTTCTGAAAATACATAGTTATAGATGGTGTCTTAGAAGATGTGCTTTACGGGGCCGGGCGTGGTGGCTCACACCTATAATCCCAGCACTTTGGGAGGCTGACGTGGGTGGATCACTTGAGGTCAGGAGTTTGAGACCCGCCTGGCCAACATAGTGAAACCCCATCTCTACTAAAAATACAAAAATTAGCCGGGCGTGGTGGCGTGTGCCTGTCGTCCCTGCTACTTGGGAGACTGAGGCATGAGAATTGCTTGAACCCGGGAGGCAGAGGCTGCAGTGAGCCGAGATGGTGCCACTGTACTCCAGCCTGCGTGATGGAGTGAGACTGTCTCAAAAAAAAGAAAAGAAAAGAAGATATGCTTTAAAAAGTCTAATTCTGCTGTATTACTGTAGCTAATGTGCTCTCTGCATTTTTTTTTTTAGTATTTTCATGTTCCAGACAGTGCTACTTTTAGCATTTGCCCAGGTGGAGAGCAGCCTGCTATGAAATCCAGCTCCCTTCCTTGCTGGGACTTGATGCCTGCCATTAGTCAGTCAGTGCTGGATGCATCCCTGCTTCAGAAACAGATCATGCTGGGCTTTTCTCCTGCCCCAGGTGCTGACAGCTCACAGTGCTGGAGCCTGCCAGCTATAGTTAGACCAGAGTTTCCCAGACAGAGTGTGGCAGTACCCCTTGGGAATTTCCGGGAAAATGGATTCTGTACCAGGTATTTTATGTTTGTATAAATGTCTTTCTTCTTTGCTTGTCAGTCTAGCTGTTCATCTAGATGCCAAGAGAGAGAGAATGGTTGTAGTGCTCCCCATATGTAATACTAGGCTTTATTTTTAATGACTTCTAGACATTGTATACAGTGAGTCAAGTGTTGTGATCACATATGGCTTGTCCCAGCATACTACTTAAGAGATTTTTCCCCTTATGGAGCTTACGCTGGGGGGAAATGATGGTACTTGTACCACAGAATGTCATTATATGAAAAGATCATATGTATGATCATACAAATAGCATCGTATGAAAAGATCATATCATAATGAAAAAATTACCTGTTGTGAGTTCTTAGCCTCCATAAAATTATAGGAAATAAGGGTTAAAATAGGAGCAAGTCAAGTTGGAAAACCTTTTTCTTTTCCCATATTATACTTTACTTCAAAATGGAATTTTTCTCAAAAAGTCATTAAGAGAGATAACTTAGATAAACACAAGTCACAGAAGACTCTGTTCTGTGGTTGTTCCTGCACACAAGTTGCTCCAATGACCGATTACCAGTTATGCAAATAACCACAGAATCAAGCCAGAGATGTATAATGGTTTGTTCATACTGGACTTCTATTATGTGGTTGTTTTGCATGTAAAATATCCCTTCTGCAGCTCTCAAGAATAACTTATTTATAGTATATATAACAGCTGCAAAAGAAAACATATTGTGCCCTTATGAGAAGTACCTTATTTTCATGATTATGAATTTATAGGCTTTGAGATTTTAGCAATGCTAACTCTTTTGATATAACATTTTAAAAGACAAGAGAGATTTATAATAGTAATATTTTAAATAAGTTATTCATAATGGCAAGGTTCTGTTCTTCACACATCCCTCCTTCTTTCACAGTATTCACAAAATCCTTGATTTTACAAACATTTGTCATCTTACACTGTAGAGGAGTGGTTATCCTTACATTCTGGTTGGAGATGTTAAGCATAGTGAGTTTAAGGGTGTTTTTGAAAGTTATATGAACTTATGTCTATAAACAAAACATTTTTTAAAAAACAAAATTTGAAACTAAACTTAATTTGGAAATTAAGCTTAAAATTCAGATAATTACAGTATAATTTAATCTTATCTATAAATACTCAGCTAGATATTGGACAGAAAGTACCATACTTGAGTCCTGGCCCCAGCCTTCTTGGCTATCAAAAAGAAATTATCTGAGGTTGGCTCGCGTAGCTCTTTTAAAATTAGGCTGGGAAAGGAACTTTGCTGTTTATCCAAGAACTGTACTCTGAAAATGAATTTATTTCGTGCTGTCCCATCTCCTCATCTATTTCCTTCCCTCAATTCAACCAATAGCACACATTAGATGGTGGTATTAATGTGCTTTTACCAAATGCTAACGGACCATTCACTTTGACATTTCACACAAATACAATCTTTGGGAAGTACTCACACTGGCAAATAAGATGGATGGCAAATGGAAGCTTTTTAGAGCATTATTGACCCCTTTTAGTCAGCTGAGGGCCACATTTGGCAAATTATCTGATTTCTTTGATTAATTTTGACAATCATTCCATGTAATTTAGGCTTCAGAGTAATTTTTTTTTCCTGCTTCAATGAAATATTCTTTGTGGTAGTCTGTAATCTAAATAGGAAAATTTCTCTCTCTTCATCACAGAAGGCAACCTGTACTCACACAGTTGGTTTTCTAACTCCAAATAATACAGCTTTGCTCCTGCTAATCAAAATGTACATTTTTTAAGGTGTGATGGGAATATGGAAATTGACAGCAAACATTATCAGCCTGCCTACCTTTAGAAAAAAGAGCAAGCACCCAAATTCTCTAGTAGTCCTTTGAAAAGCAGGTCAGCTTTTTTTTTTTTTTTTTTTTTTTTTTGATACAGGGTCTTGCTCTGTTGCCCAGGCTCGAGTGCAGTGGCACAATCATGGCTCACTGCATCCTCAACCTCCCAGGCTTAAGCCAACCTCCCAGGCTCCAGCCATCCTCCTCCCACCTCAGCCTTCCAAGTAGCTGGGTGTGCACCACCACACCTGGCTAATTTTTGTATTTTGCTGTAGAGATGGGGTTTTGCCCTTTTGCTGAAGCTGGTCTTGAACTCCTGGGCTCAGGCAATCCTCCTGCCTTGGCTCCCAAAGTGCTGGGATTATAGGCGTGAGCCACCATGCACAGACTACCAAGCACTTTTAAGGAAGAAGAAGGTACCCTGCCTGGCTAAGGAGTTTAACACACATATGCATTGGGGGGAAAAAGAACAACAGGAAATATTAGCACAAGGTTAGCTATAGTTCTCTCTGGATGATAGAATTATTTTGTTTGCTTTTAAGTATTTTTTCACATTTTATGAATATTATAAATATGTTACTATTGTCAGAAAAGAAAGCTCCCCTGAGTTATAAAAGAGATATTTTCAAGCTCTGAATGTTGCAAATCTAAATAAACATGTTCCAGGAGAGAAAGCATTCATTTTTTTTCCTAAACATATCTGTCATTTGACTTGATTCTGTTCTAGGGCTATAGTGCTGACATATCAAGAACACCTTGGAGTGACTTACTTAACCCTCTCAGAAGACCCTAGTCCTCGAGTAATTATCCACAACAGATGTCCAGTAACAGTGCTTATAAAGGAAAACATTAAAGGTATGTTTTATAATGTCAAATTTAGATAATACTAAATGTGTATTTTTTTTCTGGGGTTTTTTGGTTTAGTAGTTACCTGTGATCCTGTGAAAAAAAATATTTAAATAGATGTATTAATCATCTCTTTTTGAGAAGTTTCTTTTGCCACATTATGTTTACTGTCCCCCAAGTCTCTGTCTTTAAGGGCTAATTCTGATATGCCTTTTTTAAAATTTCAGATATTCCGAAGTTTGAGGTTTATTGCAAAAAAATTCCCTCCGAGTGCTCAATTCATCATGAACTGTATCATCAGATTTCCAGTTATCCGGACTGCAAGACCAAAGACTTACTTCCGAGCCTCCTTTTGAGAGTTGAACTGCTAGATGAAGTAACAACTGAGTGGAGTGATGCCATCGACATCAACAGTCAGGGAACACAGGTCAGTGAGCCGTGTGTTCCTGCCAAGACCCAAAGAAAAATGTCCTTTTCTGAGGTTTTGTTGGTTGCCTACTTTTAAACGTAATTTTCTAGATGCTGAACATCTTTTCTTTGTGTGAAAGAGCATGTGAATCCATTTTTACATCCTCATTAAGTTATAAATTCTCAAACTCAAGCATGTATCTGCAAAGTAGACTATAAAACCATTGACTAGAGAGGAGCACTTAGTAAAAGCAGGCCCATCTTGGATCTAATCCAAGGTCGAAATGGAAATCAAATTGTTAGGCTTATTTAGATAGAACATAGTTCAGCTGTACAGATTTTTGCATAGTCATAATACAAATCCTCTTTTGTGTATTACTAGGATAAATATGTGTATTTTAAAATTACTAATTTTTATTACATAAAACCCCACAAATGGAAGTTTTATTACATAAAACCCCACAAATAGAAGTAGGTTTAAAAACCTGAGCAGATAAAATGTCTTAATTGTTTCTGTCTTCGTCTGGATGTTAGTGATACTAATTTTGTTGAAAATAGCATAAGAACTTAGCATTTCCTTTCTTCTGGACTTAAAATTTACTGTTTGTTAGTGTGTAATTTAGTGGCATTAAATATACTTACAGTGTTGTATAACCATCACCACTATTTCTGAAACTTCTTTATCATTTCAAACAGAAACTCTGTACCCAGTAAGCAGTAATTCCCATTCTCCCCTCCTCCAACCCCTAGTAGCTCTCTTCTTCTTTGTCTCTGTCTCCATGAATTTGCCTGCTCTAAGCATCTCAGATAAGTAGAATCATAAAATATGTATCCTTTTGTGTCTGGCTTATTTCACCTAGCATAATGTTCTCAAGGTTCGTTCATGTTTTAGCATGGATCAGAACTTCATTTGTTTTTATGAGTGAATAATATTGTGCCATACTTTTTTGAAAAGTTCGTTCACATTTATTAGTTCATTTGGTCTTCGCAACAAGCTTCTGAGGTAGGCTACTGTAATGGTGACAAACCACATATTAAAGTTATAAATGCATTTGCAGTAATAATAATGGTTATCATTGAATAATCACTTACTCCATACGAGGCATTGTTCTAAGCACTTTACGTTCATTCTCATCTAACCGTGACAACAGCCATACAAGTTAGGGACTATCATCTCCACGGAGGGAGAAGTAGAAACTAAGACCTGCAGAAGTACCTAGGTCTAATTTGCATGTAGTGGAAGCAAAAGGCCTGGAATTTTATCCAGATTCACCGGACAGCAAAGCCAGTGCTCTGAGCACAATGCATGCTGTTTCCTTACATGAAACTCCTTGCCCCCCCTCTTTCCCAGTCCTCCTGGCACATTCTTTCTCATCTCAAGATTTCATTAAAGCCCCTGTGAAGTGTATTTGTGAAGTGTGGAATGACTGATCTGCTAAGGGGGAGAAGGAAAAAGGGAGGGGTCTGGGAAGAGCAGTAGCTGTGGAAACTGGTGAAGGACCTGGCTGGAGACAGAGGAAGGGATGGCTGAGTGGCCTGGAGGGCCACACTCACCCTGGAGACCTGCATTTGTAGTGGCCACAAACTACTCAGGGGCATGCTTTCTGTCAGCTGTGCTCAGGGGCTAAACAGTGAAAACCCACGGGATCTATGCAGCCTCAGAAGATGCTCCCAGTCTCATTAATTTACAAAATAAATATTGCAAGCTTCTCAGGGGTCCCTGAACTCCCCTGTCTGGGTTTAAAGATTTTTGAAATCCTGCTTATATTTGACTTAGGAATTCTTTATGATAGACATTCTTCCTGTCAAACCTTATTTTGGGGATTCCCATTCACTCTAAATTTCCTCAAAACTTTGTAGTCAGGGATACTTCAAAGCTAAGAGGAGGTGCTCTTTCCAACACCCTTATCATTGTGGTCTGAGGACCCAGCAATCTCATGTTCCCATTAATCTTTTAGAAGCTGTGTGCCATATGTCCTGCAGACCATGGTTTACTTCCTACTCTGGAGGAAGATTTGTTTCAGACCCTCACCGACATCTCCTCAGTAATATCCCAGGGCATATAAATCACTGGGGAGCAAAGGGAGCTGTGTCCTCTGATGAAAGGAAGGAGCAGTCCTTCTGGAGGAGGGAGTTTGTCTTCCAGGAACCTTCCTCAGCCCTTGGTCTGTGTATTTCAAAGCTGACCTAACAAGCAAAATCAAAACACCATAAAATGCCCATTATGCTGCAAGGAAGAAAACTCCTTTAACTTTTTTCAGTCAAGCCCTCTGCTTCCGTTGTGTAGATAAGATAGTCTCATGTTGTAGAATTTTGAAATGGATTGCATGAGGAAATAAGCACAGAGGAGTTGTATAATCTCACAGAGTATTCTTTGGACCAAGAGTTATTGAGAAGACCTGCTCACATGTAGGCTGCAGAATACTGATTGTAAAGTTGCTGCGTGCTTTTGGGGGTTGGATCCTTGGCTCACACCTGGTCAGAAGACATCTCATGGTTATTCAACCAGAGACCTGAAGGTGGCACCTGGTGCTCATACGCATGATTTGATAGTTGGTGGTAGGCTGACTTTAGGACAAAAACAGTCTTTAGGTGCTCAATAAATAAAGTCATAAAAGTAAGTTTACACCGATAATTTTAAGTCATAATTTTGATCCTACCAGGAAAATAGTTCAGACTCCTATCATAGTGTATAGGATTTTAATTTCTGATACTCAGAAACTATTTTTGTCAGAATTAGGCAATGTTATTTTGAAAAAGTCAAAACAAGGAACAAAGAAAACATAGTAGTTACCACTTAACTACCAACAACATTGAGAAGCCTGCTTCATTCATTCAGTCAACAAATACTGAGTTCCTAATGTATGCCAGACATTATAACTTGGTACTAGCACCATGTAAAATATACTGAACAAAAATGGAGCACAGCCCCTGCCCTCAAGTTTACATGTGGAGGAGATAGATAATAAATAATCTCATGGGTAGTTGTATTATAAGCACTACGAGGAGCTATGCAGGAAAGGTACAGTTGTGCTATGTGGGTGTACAGCAGACAAGTTTGAGAGGTCAAGGAGGGTGTCTCTGATGGAGAGACCTTGCCTCTGTGTCTTCAAGGTGAACAGGCTCTCCCTAGACAAGAGAGTAGGGAATCTTTCTAGGTAGAAAGAGCAATATGTTTGAAGCTTCAGTGTTCAGAGGGCACGTGGTCCTTTTAGGGAACTAAATGCCAGTGCGGCTGTAGCACCAGATGACAGAGGGTAGGAGAGGGAGCTGGTGAGGCAATGAGAGACCAAACCTGGCAAGGCCCCGTGGGTCCTATCAGGGATTTTGGTTTTTATCTTATGAGTCATGGGAAGTCATTGCATTATGAAAAGTACTTGCTGAGCCATTGAACTGCAAAGAGTGAGTAGTTTGAACCCCAGAAAGTGAATTTAAATGATCCCTTTGCAGGTAAATTCCCTTCTGAAAAGATCCATTAAATTCTCATGATCTTTGACTCTTAACAGACATTCATAGTCGGGTCATTGTCACTGCTGTTTCTTCGCAAATGGATTGTTTTGTGGGGAGGAGAGAATGATAGTCCTTCATGTTTCTACAGCTCTGTGCCATTTACCAAGTGTTTCACAGGCACAGTCTCCATTCTTTTATTCATTTGTTCAAAGTTTTGCTGAGGACCTATCAGGTGCCAAGCCCTTTGCCCTAAATAAGGCATAATTCCTGCCTTCAAGGACTTGAGTAACCAATAAATGCAGTAAAGGGAAGATAAAACCTTTGATCACTGCAAAAATTCTAAGATAGGGTGATAATTTTTATGTTTATTTACTGATGAGAGATTTGAGGCTTAAAGAGGAATCAGCTAGGTGACTTACAACTAAGCAGGAGCAAGCTGGAGCCTAAATCTGCTCCCATGTGGTCCAGTCCTATTTTTCCTACACCAGGCTCAGGCCACTTGTCTGTCCTCTGAAGTCTTGCCCTGGCTACAAATACTAGCTGCCTGAAAGTTCATCAAAGCACAGGATAGAAGAGATTTTCTAATCTCCCCATTTACCTAATGCAAGAATCCCTTCTATGACATCTCACCCCAGAAGGCTCCCAGTGTAATAGTCATAACTTGTCCAGTGGTGGCTGTGAGAAATTTTCTCTTGTATCAATCTGAAAACTATTACTCTGTAGCATCCGTTCATTCATCTTTGTTTTGCCGTCTGGGACATCACAGACTCTTTATTTCCCCTCAAATACAGCAACGCTACAATTATTTGAAGGCAGCTCCAACATCTTTCCTAAGTGTTCCCTTATCCAGGCCAAACATTTCTGGTTCCTTGAATCATTCCTTCAGTAAATGCAATTTCCACACCCATCACCACAGTTACCCTATGTGAACACTCTAGGTGTTATGTTCCCTTTTAAATATCTGGCAGCCGGAATTACACACAGTATTCCAAATGTGGTCTAACCAGCTATTACCTCCCTATGCTTCCATTAATAAAGTAAAAGATTGAGTTAGCTTTTTATTAATGAGTTCAGACTGTTTGTTATACTGAACTTGTGGTCAACCACATCCCCCAGGTCTTTATCATATGACTTGCAATACAGTTGACTTTTTGAACCCAAAGACAGGACTTTACATTTATCCCAAGTAAATTAAGTCTTGTTGATATTGGCCTAGTCCGGCTTGTTGAAATCACTTTTTAAAAAATTGTGATGCTGTCATCTAACATATTAAGTATCCCTGGTAGCTTTATGTCATCCATAGATGTGGTGAGCGTGCATTCTACATGTTCGTCCAGGTCATTAATAAATATGTTGAACAGGACAAGTTCATGGTCGACATACTGCAGTGAATCACTAGACACTCCCCGAATGCATGGGGTCATTCAGCCAGACTCTACTCTCATCTAGTCCATGTTTCTTAAGTAAGAAAATGCATCTAAAATCACTTTTAAACTATACTGTATAAGATATTATCTACAAGAATATCAGAACATACTTTGTTAAATGCCTTGACGAACCAGGACTCAA